TGTAACCGATAGAAAGTGTTACATGGTTTAGTTGTAATGATTAGGTTGTTATGATGTGAGTGGGTAATTAACCTTGAACAGGTGAGCGATATGCATCGACCGGGCGCAGATCGATTAATCCCTGTCTTGTCAGTCAACCGATTGGTCGGCGCTGTAATCTGGTATGGATTAGCGTTTTTATTCGAATTCGTGGCGCAATTCTGTTGACCGGATTGTGAGGTAATCGACGTCAATTCTGGGTGGCCTAGACCCATGTGCGATTTCATTCCAGGGTGGTAGAAAAAGAAGAGGATTTCTTCGCCTTAGTTCCAAAGCATTGCTGGGCACAATAACTGCAGATTCGACCGCCTATCAAAATATGAATAAAACATATTTGGAATTCAACATTCGCATATTTTAAGGAATGAAATGGAACAAGAATGAATAGCAACCCATCATCGGTTGGTTATAATCAGCAGAGTAAAATCATGGAAGAAGTTATGATGAGCGGCAATATCCCCATCCCGGCACCAGGACGAACTGGTTCGTTATTGATTTACGTGTGCTTTTTGAAGATTGACGAACTTTGGTCTACGAACTTCTCTTTAGAGGCGCATTTCTCAGCGGATCCCGCGTAAATTCATTTTGACATCGATCAAAATTAATTTTCTCGGCAGTTAAGGGATGAGTGATGGGAATTTGCTGAGCGATGCTAGCAGAGCGTAAAAAATAGTGCAAAAAAAACCGAAAAGCTTGTTGATGCTTTTAGCTAGTAAACGGTTTAGTGTCCAAATATTCACGATAATATGCAGAGCGGAAATAATTCATTGCGGTCAACTAATTGTCATCAACTGATTCAAGAGTCACAATATTTCGAAAGGGGCCATGATTTTTGAAAAATACGGGAGTGGAATTCCAATTATAACAATGTATAACTTGACTACATTGATTTAATCTGGGTAAAGCTTCATACTAATTGAGCCAAATAATTCATTCGCTCAACCCTTCTTGGGTCTTAACTTGTTCCAATTAGTCATCACCACAACACACATTTATCTTTGTAAACCGGATTTGGTAGGGGATTACTCTGGATTAACTGGTAATGCCCTAGATCCATATGTGCGATTTTCAAAACAAGGGCAGTTACGGTCGTCTTCTATGAAATCCATTATGCTTTCCTGTTAAAGAGTGAGCGGATTTTCCTATGCTTGGTACTAGCTTTACTACTTTGATAACTTGTACAGAGCCCGATCCTAATAAGATCAACTTTTCCCGCGTGCATATTTAGCATTTTGGGAGCGCAGGAGATTAGGAGATTCAGCTAAAAGGGTAAAGTGTGTACTAGTTGGTTCAAGCGGCAACTCTTAATCTTTCGTTCTCCTGTTCTCCCTCAACTTGAATACACGCGAACTGACTGCTCGTGAAGATCTAGTGGGTGCTAGGCGAGTTCATGGATTCTACAGGGCGGTTCGGTGTCTGTGACAGTGGTCATTTAGCTATGAAGCCCGTGTGTTGAGATGTCAGACTTGCACTAATTGCAATGCGTGCACCAATTTCTGGAAAGCATGTGGAGAGGTACGAGTCAGACGGACTGGAAAAAGATCATGTTCTCTCTGTTGTCCAATTGCAGTTACGTTTACAACAAAAAGGCAACCTATTTGAAGGTTACTTTTACAATTGAAATCTCTGCCTCATCATACGTCGAATTATGTTCCCTCTACGCACCTCTAAAAGAACCCAAATAAGTTTCTCAAATAGTACAGTCGGCACTTGATGAGCAAATTCCCGGGCATGCAGCCAGACGTTGTGCGCAATCGGATTTATCTGACATCAGTTTTTTCGCTGGTCATATGTGGATGAGCCTTTTCGATTTGACTACGTGATTTCCGCTTCATGAAGATTTATGAAATGCAGCCTTCACCAAAATAGCGATTACTTGCTTTTTATTCTCTATTATTAAAAGACACACTTTGAAACCGGATCACTCGTTTACAAAATTCCAAAAATCTCTTGTAAAGTGTACTGTTCAGATGCCTTATCTGTCCTAAAACTGTTTTCTTCTTGCGGAGAAATAGTTAACATTTTTAATGGATTACTTTTTGAGGTCTTCTGGTGAAAATCACAGCCGATAACAGTAAACAAAGATGGACACATAAGGGAAATATCCGTTTCCCTGAGCTGCCGTTGGTCTTGTGTGTTCGCTTCATATAAACAACTTGTTTGGCAGTTTTTTGTAAATATCATACGCTTTTGTGAAGCTATTATACATTGCCTATGTTTTTACATAAACTGACAAGTCTCATGAAAAGGAAATCTGGATCACCTAATGGGGAAGTGCGAGAAACGCTGATGTGTAGGTGTATCGTAGAAAGAAAACGATCTTCCGCTTCTCGCGCCGCGGAGCTTTTTTCGGCTTCAAGAACTTAGCGTCCAGTTCTGATCAGTGGATGGTGGTCGCGATTCTCGCCAGCGAAAAAAGTGGTCGCGTTGCCGAGAAGCGGAAAAGCCACTTTCATTTCTAGCGGAACCAAACCCCCCACACCCAAGTGGTGTTGAGTTCCTGCTTGATTAATTCCCTTTTCAATCACTTCGCTGCCAGGTAGCCATCATTCATCTCAGCATGAAAATTTCCTTTTAGATGTTGGGTACATGTAGACATCCTCGTCAGAAAGAATATTGTTACCTGAATTTTTGAACATCATTTGCATTACTGCATTGCTTTAGGAATGATGAGTGGCGGTGGTGGTGTTGTCCCGCCAGTGCTACTCGATGAAGCCCGAGTGCCACGGTTCTATCGCGATGCCATAGCTGCCTGTGGTGCCACACAACAAAATATGCTTCCACATACTGCTTTAGGTACATTAGTTCAGTATTCTCGAGAAATTTTCAGTGTAAAACAAGAAAAGGAGTTTTGTAAGCAAGTATTGCTCTTCATTACCTTTCAGTGTACAATTTGATGGTAACGTCGGGTTTACCAAGACCAGTCCTTTCCTACATATGGTCAGCGGTGAATCGAACTCTTCCTGGTCAGCTGACTCGTCCGGAATTCTTTTCCTGTTTGGCACTCATTGCTTTAGCGCAGGTCTGCTTGATCGTTGTCTTTTTCCCTCTTCAGTCTCGAATTCTGAAGGTTTGGGGCGTTTTGTGAGTTTTATATGTGGATTTTTCTGTTTAAGAAGGGCGAATCCTTGGCAGCTTTATCGACAATGTCTTCACTTCCCATTCCATTTCTCCAGTCTGTGCAAGTGCCTCTAAACCAACCGCTGGCCGCCCCTGTGGTCAATGTAGCGAAGCCTACGTGAGTGATTCTTTGATTCCTCTTGTTCTTTTCTTCGTGGGTTTTCAGGGGTGTCGGTCAGGAGATCCACGATGCGACGCCGCGCAGAAACCCAGGCTCAGCGCACGACGGCGTGTGAACTCGTCATCGCCGCAGACCGTAGTGCATATATCGTGCAGCCGCTTCTGCCGCCTCGCCATAGAGTGAACCTCCTGACCTACACCCAAATTTCGAACCTGTTCAAGATTGCAGTCAGTAAATTTTTAGAGCTCCTCCACCTAAGGAACAGCGCCAGGGTTCATCGTTTATTCCTACTTCCCTGCTGATGGGGAGACGCAGCCATGCGAAAAAGAAGGAGGTGGATTTGATGGGAGAAGCTCTACCACAAACGACGAAATCGGCAGGCCAAGACGAAGGAGGAATGACATCACCGGTCCTTCCACCCCCTATACCAGGTTTCCCATAGAGCGTCGTAGAGCCCGCATCAGAAGCATTGATCAAGTATAGCCATTGCAGGTCCATCAAAGTCAGGGCACCAGAGTCATGTTACTACAAACTCGGTCACAAACGGTTTCAATGCTAATTCGAACTCAGCGATGAATGATTTATGCAGCATTGATTGGTCTTCAATGGCTCCCACGCAAGCCGCCACAGCTTCGCGTGACTTGAACTCTCCAACAACCGGCTCGTCGAGAAGTGATGAAGATGGTGAACGTTTTGTTATGTTGTTAGTCTCTTCAGCAGCCTAGTTTATTTGTTACTAGGTTGAATTTATGTTGTCTTCAGTGTCGACAGCAAGCAGTTTCTCGATGGCCTGCTCGACAGCATCGGAAATCAACGGCTGCGCTCAAGTAACCCATGCGATAAGTACAGAATTGCTGGAGTGCTGGGAAAAAGTCATCGGTGCTGCGACAGAAATTTTCAAGGTGCGTTTTCGTTGAATGACTGGCACGACAACTATAGTAGTATTTCTCGATAATAATTTCAGACTGCTGACAGACTGCTGGCCTCGGCGAATGACGACGTTATTAGGGAAATCGCTCAAACTGAACGAGGAGATGGATATTTGAGGTTTGTGCTCGTGGATATTCATTAATGGGAAATATTTCGGCGTCGTGTTTTGTCCGTGCGGGGGGGCTATTAATCTCCTGACACGCTCTCCATTTCAAGCGACGTTTTTCGGACTCAGTCGCGTTTCGGATTGTCGTCTCGCAAGCTCCTTTTAGTTTGAAACTGATGACTTATCGACTTGTCGCAACAACTAGGGGTTTTTGATGAGGCGATCTATCAGAATGTCAGGGCGGTGTAAAGGTTTTAAAACGATTGTGGATGATGTCAAGATTCTAGGGAAGGAGGCATTACAGTCGCCATCCTTCTGAGGGTTTTCTCTAGATGGATTTTCAGTGCAAATAAGAACTAAGCCGGATCTTCCTTTTCAGGTTTTTTGTACAATCGCGATTTTCTTAAGTGTCGCGGCATTTCTTAATTTTCCAGACGACATTGTGGATGTTATATACAGCTTTCTTAAGCAGAGAAGTTACTCTTCCAATCCCGCAGTTAAGCCCAATACATTTTTGCAGGTGCCTAAATCATCTGTATTTTGTCGTGTGCCGGGTCGAACGATCAGCGAAGTTGGAGCTACCAAAAGGTGTCGGGAAGAAATTGATTACTGCACAAGGATTTGGAAACGTCTGGTTGATTTCATCGAAGATCCGGAGGAAGAGGATAGAGCTGGTACAGCGGAGAAGTGAGTGGTCATTTCAGTAGTTTATTTGTCACTGTTGTTATTTCTCATCATCATTTGCTATAGGTTTCGAGAAATGACTTATTATTTGGGATGGAACAGTTGGCCTCCTATAGAGTTTGAGTGTTGACAGTCTTCCAGTCCCGTCGCAATTGCAGACTCGGCTTCTCGTGTGCGATGGTCCGAAGTTTAGAGTTACCCCTCCCTTCAAGCGAGAAAGTGTCGGGTGCAGACCACCACAAGTGACGACGGCCTTCACAAAATGTTAATGTTTTCTGCCAATGAAATGATTAGCCTGTTGCAGTTGTATTCTATCGATTGTCACTAATTACAACTATCATTTACCAGAAATCAGCTATCACTATGAACAACTTAACCAGATTTACTTGGAGGCCGTCGTCAGTTGTGGTGTTTGGTCTGCACCCGACACTTTCTCGCTTTTTGAAGGGGAGGTTATGTAGCTTTTCGGTGATCTTGATGTCAGGATGCCAGCTGTGATAAGAAGGGTATAATAACTACGGCAGGAAACAGTTTAGACTCATTTAACTACCCCCTCTCCTAGTCAGTGGCTGTCCAAAGTGTTGGTGCGGGTGGTTGCTCTGCACTAACTGCGCCTACAGGCATCACTGCCATCCCAAAGTTGTTCAAAGTGTTTTCCGAAAGGAATTATAAGCAGATAGGGGCCAGTTTTTAGCGTCTGTCTAGTAAAAAACCGGTAAGGGGGGGGTGTCGACTCTTTAATGGCTTCGTTTTGGTCGCCTCCAGTAGAATAATTTTTCCTTCTTTTCACATTTGGCTGTCTTGAATGCGTTTTCTTCTTCACTGCGTATGAGTATGTTTTCTTTAGACGTTGATTGTTATTGAGTGATTGATACCTCGCCCATGTCAATTCATTCAACGGCATTGTCAAACATGTGATTTTCCTCGGACGCTAGAGGCTTCTCCGTGCTGTCTTTTGGCGAATATCCGTTCCCTTCCTAAGAATGTTGGCGATCTCCTTTATCGAATGCAGGATGGTAAATGTAGCATAGTTGCACTCACGGAAACGTGGTTAACTGATACTATTAGTACTGAATCCCTATTTGGGGATTGGTGTATGCGATATGATGTTATTCGGTGCGATCGGCGCAACAGACGCGGTGGTGGCGTCGCCGTTATTGTGAAGAAAAGCTTCACTCCTCGACTTGTATTTGAGGAATCCGTGGCTGGCCGACTCTTTACGAACTTTTGTGCGCCGACCTTGACACGGATCACGCCATGATTAGGTTAGTACTAGTCTACAGGGCTCCATCGTGCACGGCTGCTGCATTAGACCAGCTACTGAAGGCAATTGGTGATTTGATAGCCATCAATTACTCGGTAATTTTGCTCGGTGACTTCAATCTTCCCGAAATTTCATGGCTTGGTAATTATAATCCAGTTCCTTGTAGTAGTTCCCGTGCGCGCGCTTTCACAAATTTTTGTCTAAGTCTCAACCTCAAACAAATCGTTTTGAGAGGTACACGGGGATCCCATATTCTAGACCTATTACTAACTGACGACGAGGCGCTTATAAGTAATGCTGTTGTTCAGTCGCCGGTTGGGAATAGTGATCATGCTTCCATCGTCTTCACACTTGAGCTTGAGGTCAAGAAGGATGTAAGAGAAGTGTTTGTAAGGGACTTTAAGAAAGCAAATTTTGATGCGATCAATGAATATCTCAGTCAAGTTGACTGGTATGGATCCTTGAATTGTGCTGACACGATTAATGAGAAATATGAATTGTTCTTGGGCATACTCCATCATACTATTGAGGTATTTGTTCCTGTTAAAATGCGCAAGACAGGGAGCTCCC